AGTTTTCTTCGCCATGTTCAGTTTTCTTCTCTTCCTGCTTCCAGTCCAGAGTCATTTTCCAGCAGGAAGGAGAGAGGAGCTTCCACTCGTTCTACCAGGTACGCACGTGGACACCTGCCTGTTTTAAGGCTTTCCTGGGATCCTTTTTGTTTACCTGGAGGGTTATTTTGTTTGTTTATGACGTACCCGTGTGGGTCGGCTTTTTCCAGCTGATCAACAGCTGGCGTTGCCACGGCAATGATTAGAAAAGATCAGACAAAACTGTGAAAAAACGGGTGGAAATTAAGCTTTGCAGTACATCGCTTAGCTTGTTCATAACACTCAACATTGGGTGCCTTCACAGGGATTCCCAACTTTTCCTCCTTTAATATGCCAAAAATAAATAAAAAACTAATAAAACAGCATTTCTGAGGTTATTTCCATACTTCCGTTACAATGTTGGCAGAATTATGAATCCGAAAAAAAACAAACAGCATTTCTGAAGTTATTTCTATATATGTGTTACAATGTTGGTAGAATAATGAATCCAAAAAACAAAAAAAAACAGAATTTCTGAGGTTATTTCCATACATCCGTTACAATGCTGGCAGAATAATGAATCCCAAAAAAATAAACAAAAAACTGCATTTTTGAGGTTATTTCCATATATCTGTTACAATTTTGACAGAATAATGAATCCAAAAAACATAAAAAACTGCATTTCTGAGGTTATTTCCTACATCCGTTACAATGTTGGCAGAATAATGAATCCAAAAAACATAAAAAACTGCATTTCTGAGGTTATTTCTATACATCTTAATGAATCCAGAATCCAGAATGATGAATCCAGCCTCCAGCTTGCCCATTATGTATCTTACAAGAAATTAAAGTTTGTGTATTTGACAAAAAATCAATTTTTTCCTCAATCACCAGCTGCTAAAAGGAGCCCCAGAGTCCCTTTTACGGTCTCTGCACATCCAGAAAGACCCAGCGGCCTACAATTACATCAAAGTGGGGGGCCACATTAAGGTAATCCCAACAGTAAACTCACACATAAACCTGTTCCAGTGAACACAACAAATCACCAAATCACCGGACTTCCAGAGTCCATGAGCAAGGCATCCCACCCGGAGTAGAGCGAGACCAAACTCCTGTTTTTACAGCCCAAACTGTGATTTAATTCAGTGTTTTTCAACCACTGGTCCTCGGTACACTAGTGAGCCGTGAGTGATGGCCAGGTGTGCCGTAGAAAATCTTCCTATTTCACCTCATTGGTCTAAAAAGATTTTTTGATAAGTAATTAATTATCTGCAATTAATACGCCATTTTTGAGTGTCTGTGCTGTACTAGTGACTGGTGGCGTAATCATGTAATAATTCCTTATGACTAGATTTTGTACATCATTTTGTATATTGAAGTGGACATGTTAAGTGCAATTTGAAAGAAATATAAAATATGAGAAAAATACATTTTTGTGTTTAATTGATTCCTATTCAAGACCCTTAAGATAAGATAAGAATAAAATAAGAATAACTATAGTGTTACTATAGGCGGCTACAGATTTGTTTAAAATTTTTGGTTGGTGATGTGCCTCGTGATTTTTTCAATGAAAAAATGTACCTTGGCTCAAAAAAGGTTGAAAAACACTGATTTAATTGGCTAACGAGCCGGATGGAAGACGAAGAAAAACCAGCGCTTCTATTAAACCCATTGTCTCGTTTTAGAGGAGAGGGGAGAAAAAATGTGGAAAAAATCCCTCTCTGGCTTTTGTTGGTTGTGCCTTTTTTTCCAACTCTTCTTTTGCCTTTTTTTTCTTTTTCGCAGTCTGGCATCAACGACGGCGCCGATTTCAAAGCTGTGGCCGACGCCATGAAAGTGATCGGGTTCACCGGGGAGGAGATTCAGACCGTTTACAAGATCCTGGCCACCATCCTGCACCTGGTAAATCCCACTGACCCCAAACGCCCCGCAGGAAAGCGGGATTTAAATCTGCACATGCATGTTTTTATGTCTGTCTTTCTGTTTTATATTGTTTGACTGTTTCTGAGATGCTGGTGGTTTTAACTTCTATCATTTTCGATAATGGTCCATTCATTCGGCTCTGATCAATAAGAAAACTGGAGAGGAAAGTTGTCTTTAGTTAATTATTCTCCTTAAAGAAGGACGTTTGTGTTTGTCTTAAAGGAAAAGAAAGGAAGTTGGCTATAGAAAAGTAGCCAACTGGACACTGAGCACTCAGTAAATATAAGAAACTCAAAACGAGGGCGGTGCCAGAATGCTAAATCCTCTTTAAAGCTTTGCATTTCATCTCAACATTTATCTGCTTAAAGAATAAAGCAAGAAAAGTACACACACAGCCGCAGACTTATTAAAGATAATCTGGTTAAGCCATGTAATTAGAATCAGGGGCTCATTATTAGGTGATAATTAGAACCTCCTCAGTTAAACCCTCGACATTAATGAAACAGTTCTCTTCTATGAGATAGAAAATAGCTGTTAAAAAGCCCCTCAAAATATTGTCATTTTAACAAAACGTGTTTGTATGTATTTTAAAGACTGAAAGTGCCAGCACATGTATCCAAAGACAAAATTGATATAAGGTTATGAAGCAAAGTATCAGTAGTTAGAAAAGCTAGAAAAGCCTTTTTGATTTCAGAGTCCATGTTAAGCTAACTGCTAGCGTTAGCTTTATATTTTTTTTCCCCAATGGGACTTAGTTTTCAACAATGTGTAGTTTCCAGGTTTCTAAAGTGAACATGAACCAGAATTTTATTTATTTTTTGCTAAACTAATAGTTTGATTCCTGTGTCAGTGCTAGGCTAACTGTACTGTTATGCTATCTGTCGGTTCATGCTATCTGTCGGTTCATGCTAGCTGTTGGTTCATGCTAGCTGTTGGTTC